CCACAGAGTTCGGGAAACCTGACTACCAGCCGGCCTCAGAACCATAAAACTAAGTTTTAGAGCTGTACCCTCATTAGGAGATAATAGAATGAGTTGCCCAGTCATAAAAATAGAGACACAAGCAATACCCACGCATTGAGTCATGAAGATCCAGCGTTCAACATCCTAAACTGGAAACAATGTATTAAAAATACATCTGCGCCTGCCTTATAGATGAGGAAGGTGCGAGGCTGGTCAACAGATAGAATCTGTTTACCCCTTAAGTCTTTGCCTAGGAGGCCTTCTACAAGACAGCAGCTGGATGCATGTAACATCTGCCCAAGATGAGTATTTTTATCGAGACACCATCTCTAGCCTTTACTCAACCAAGAGCCCCAAGGCAGGAGGTGTTTTAATTCGGAGTTAACTTCTCCTAGCCTTTGCCTAAAAAAGCGTATCCTACAAGGCAGCAGGACACGGAGCAGGTTGTACTTGGTTACATGTTACCAGTAGCAGGAAAACCTGACCTGACCTTGATTGCGCGCTAATTTAACTTTGAATTTAACTAAAAAACAAAACAAGATATCGCTTTAATAACACTTATAAACCAACATAGGAAAGTTTAAAAAAAAAATAATGACCTTTTTTTAAAATAAATTTTATAAAAAAAATTGGCCTTATTTCTGCAATGATAAAAATATTAAAACAATTCGGTTTTTTCGAAAACTAAATATTTATTTAGCCTACAAATAAATAAGATAAAAACCTTAAAAAAAAAAGAAGAATAATACACTACCCGCAAAGTTAGTGGATGGGAATAAAAAAAATGTTTCAATTTTTTAAACGAGGCTTGTAAGGTTGAAACATTAATTACACTTTGCCTTAAGTTAAGTGAGAAAAGGGGTTTGCACTAAATAACTTGTTATCATTGTTAAATCTATTTTTAAATTTTAAAGTAACCATTTTGGTTTTAATTATAGCTTTACTTCCTTGTGGCGATCGTAGCCTTACTTCCTTGCTTCCTTGCGACAAATTCTTAGCAACTTTTGCAAAAACCAAAAGCATAATTTAATATTTTTATAATCCTATATAAAGGAGATTGTTTTCTATCAAATAATTACATGAATACAAAGTAAAAGAAAACTGACTTTTATGAGAATGCTTACTAAAGAACAGAAAACTGCTATGGCTAAATTCATTTTGCAAAACAAAGAGAAAATGAACGGTTCTCTTTCTCCATTATGCAACAATCAAGATTGAAAAGAAAAATGGCAAGAATTTAGAAATCTTCTTGTAGCTCACGGTCTTTCTTCCACTGTTTCAGTTGAACATGTTCGGACAACTGAATGGCAAAACCTAAGAAGATCAACAATGGATAAGTTTAAAAAACTCAACAAATCTGGTGCTGAAGGTGGTCAATTATTCGATTATGAATGCACTGTGATGGAGATCATTGGAAAAGAATCAGCACATATTCTACCAGTTAATGTTGATGACATGAGAGTTGGAAAGAAAGTATTGATAAAAAAAATTGCCTGCGATGCCGTTCTAAATGAAAACATTTCTTTAGATAGTTCAGTAGACATCCCAGACCCAGGTAGTTTTGTATCATATTTTAAAATCAATAAACTTTTTCTAAGATGTTTTAAAAAGTTATTTGAATCAGTTATAACAGTTGTTGATAAAAATTCTAAATAAAAATTAGAAAGTAGATGTTAAAGTGGTACGGTGGTTGATAAATGCAACATATGTATAAAATTAAAATTTTCAATGTTTTCATTTAAAACATTGAAAATTTTAATTTTATACATATGTTGTATAATTCAAGTTAAAACAAACTCTAATTTATAGAAATCTCAATTGGGCAAGACGCTAGTTCATCAAGCTCTTGCATTGTTGTACAAGTTAATCCAGCCTCTAGCCTAGACTCTGTCTCTAAAACGCCTGTCGAAACAGTTCCAAAATCTTTAGCTGCAAGATCGATTGCCCAGAATATACCAGCTATATCTACAAGTACTAAACGTTCTGTAAGAAGCTATTTTATAGTAATCATTTAACTTTTGCAATAATGTATTACTGTATCTTCCTATGTGCCCAGTTAATAACAATTTAGTTTGTGTTAAGTAGTCACTAAAATATTAGTGTAACTTTTTATTTTTTTAAACACTTATTAATTGATATTATCATATGCATGCAAAAATTTATTTTAAATTGTAAACGTCATAAAACATAATTTAAGTCTTCACTTTCACATATTTTTTTAAGCATCTTTAAGTAAAATTGTTTAGTCTTTGACAAAACGACCGGCATCATCGTCATCTAAAATCTTTTCGGATAATGAGTACGGCACATTAAAGTAAGCCAAAATCAAGCAGAAACTGGATATGTTAAATAAAGAGGCTGAGTACAGAGCTGAACGTCATCTGATGGAGAAAATCGGTTTAAGGCGGAAATCGAAAAAGTTATTCTTGAGCAACAACTTCTCCGAGCTCAAATCCAGTCTTTGACTCCTCAAGACGCTCAAACATCCGAACCAAATACTTTCAGTCTTAATGAATCATAAAAACTTTTATATTCTTTATTAAAGTTTTATTACAGAACTTTATTAAATTGTTGCAGCAATTAAGCTGTTTAAAAATTGTTGCCTAAACAAATTCAAAACTTTTTATATTTTTATTAAGGAATATATTATGTACTAACTCTAGATTTAAAAATTTGTAAAATTTGAGAGCTGCTAAGTTGTTAAAGAATATTTCAATATAAGATACTCAAATTAGGGTCAGGTAAAAATAAAGCAAATGTCGAAACTCTTCAACTCCAACCTCCCATATACCTGAACAAGACAAAAATAAGTACATACAAAATTTACTAGATATTACATTATATTAGACAGCTTTTTATTTTCCTTTCTAATACCAATGGTATAAGTAAAAACGACGCTCCACGTATACGGCTACTTTCTTAGAAATTAAACTTTATGTTCCATAGGGTTGAATTTGGTTATTAGCTGTCCAATATAATGTAAATCTAATAACCTAGTAAGATATTAACAAGAGAAAAACTCGAAATTTTTGTTTAAAATTTAATAATTTTTTTAAAACTAAAATTTAATAAACTGTGTTTATTTATATCAGTTAAACAACTGCAGTATTTGATCCGTGCAAGTACCTGATTGAATTTCAGCTTGAGTGTCATCTTAAGCTTGAAAGGGCAAAGGTGTGGCAGGTAAAACTGAAAAATCTTCATATCGCCAACTTTAAGGCACATGTTGTGAATCATACAAGCACACACAACAAGTTTTGCAGCATTTTCTACTTTAGAAAATCAAATAGGTACTTGCAGAAAGTAAAACCTGTTTTTCAAAACCCCAAAACATCGCTTGGTAATATTTCTACTTTTTCGGTGCACGTCATTGAACCGACGCTTGGAGGCTGTTTGGTTGTCACTGTAAGGTGCGATGATCCAATTGTTGCAGGGGTAGCCATAGTCATCTAAGACAACTGCTCCAGGAAAAATTTGCTCACCCCTGACCTCAAAAGCAATCTAAAGTGCTGATTGACATAACACCTAAAATGTTTGAATAAGAAATCTAAATTTTTCAAAGTTGCTGGTTATTAATATACTAAATACTCTAAATATGAAAAATGGAAAAAATATAATATTTTGTAGAGTATAAATTTTAACGTTTTTCAAAATAAAATATCAAAATTATTCATGTATAAATAATATCTATTTTAGATAAGAAACAAAGTCCATGAAAATAAAAACTTTATAGAATTGTTTATATGGATGTTACACTAGTTGTATACATATCTGTTTACTTTTTAAAATATTTAGATAATTAATAAACTAAATCTAAATAACAATATTAAGCTAAAATTTATTTTATACAAATTCAGTTAACAAAAACTTACCCTAGAATCATGTCATCGCCCAGTTTCATCAGCATAAACATAATAAACATACAAATCTGGTCCACAGAAGTAAAGGACATTCAATGAATAAAACTGGTGGCGATTGAGAAATGCATCTTCATCTTTTGATGTAGGGATGATTGGTATGTGACTTTTATCGATGCAACCACACACACTTGGAATCTGTGCCATAGAATAAAACATACTGGGAGGGTGTCAACAGGATGAGACTAATGAATAATTTCCTCTCGTTGACAAAACAAACTATTTAAAACTGCATGAACAGCTTGATTGCTGGAATGTTTTTCAACACCATGATCTCGCATGATAAAATGAAGCAGCTCCTGAAATTTAAAAAGTTTTTAACTACTTTAAATATAACAATTCCATCCATACAAAAACAAAGAAAACTACATCAAAAAACCAGCTATACAGAAACAAAAAATAAAAAATGGAACTTTAAGAATCTTAGCAGTCTTTCCAGATATATTAAATTAAACTTTTATAAACACCTTGAAATTTACATAATCCATATTTTAACTGTTAAAGCAAAGTAATCATTAAATTGTAATAACATATACCCAAAGAATATAAAAAAAATTAATTTGATCTCTTGGGGGTAAACTTTTATTTCTACAAATCAGATGATGCAGATCATCTTTAAGCGTTTCTTTAAGCTCATCCAGAACTGAAAGCGCCACTCTACATCTTTCACAAAAAATAGCATCAGATATATTGTCTTAAAACTTGCCTTCATGAAACTAATATATATATATATATATATATATATATATATATATATATATATATATATATATATATATATATATATATATATATATATATATATATATATATATATATATATATATATATATATATACATATATATATATATATATATATATATATATATATATATATATATATATATATATATATATATAATATATATATATATATATATATATATATATATATATAGATACATATATATATATATATATATATAGATACATATATATATATATATATATATATATATATATATATATAATATATATATATATATATATATATATATATATATATATATATATATATATATATATATAGATACTATATATATATATATATATATATATATATATATATATATATATATATATATTATATATAATATATATATATATATATATATATATATATATATATATATATATATATATATATAGATACATACATATATATATATATATATATATATAATATATATATATATATATATATATATATATATATATATATATATATATATATATATATATATATATATATATATATATATATATATATAGATACATATATATATATATATATATATATGTATATATATATATATATATATATATATATATATATATATATATGTATATATATATATATATGTATATATATATATATATATATATATATATATATATATATATATATATATATATATATATATATATTTGCCATATTTCTAATATATATATATATATACACATATATATTTATATATATATATATAAATATATTTATATACATATATAAATATATATATATATATATATATATATATATATATATATATATATATATATATATATATATATATATATATATATAAACACATGTGCATGTGTTTATGTATATATATATATATATATATATATATATATATATATATATATATATATATATATATATATATATATATATATATATATAAACACTAAAAAGATTGATTATCTTTATCAAAAATATTGAATTGTCTTTGTATTTTAAATAAAAATTGTTCTTTATAATTAAAAAATTAAAATCTAAGAGCAATTGCTTTTTACCAGTTGAGATTGTCTGTTGGTGACACTTTTTTGAAAATCCAAGAAATCTTCAACATCTGACTCTGACTCAGAAATGTTCTTTTTACAAGTTTGAAATTTGCTATAAACTTTTTTTTTTATTATTAGAGAACTTTTATGAAGAAAATACAAGAATTTAGTTATTTATTAGCCTCATATATAACTAAGAATTTAGTTATATATTAGAAATATGGCAAATAAAGAAACAAACAAGAAACATAACTTGACTCAGATATCTTTTCAAAAGAAATATAAGTCAAGTTATATTTCTTGTTTTTTTCTTTATTTGCCATATTGGTCAGTGCAAAAGATTCTTTTGCACTGCTAAAGAATATTAATAGACACAAGAAACAACATACACTCTGTAGTTTTTTTTAGAAGAAAGTAAATAGTTATAAAATATGTTACTCTTTAAGCATATGCTTCAAGTATTTATTTGCTTAGAAGAAAATAAGTAGTTATAAAATATGTTATGCTTTAAGCATATGCTTCAAGCATAGTATTTGTTATTATTAATATTAGTATTAAATAATATTAATAGTATATTAATTTATTTACACTTATAGTAAATATTATTTTATTTATAACAATAGCATACATTTAATATTAAATACTAAAATATGCATTGCTTGCTTATGCATACTTTAAAAAACATTGCTTGCTTATGCATACTTAAAAAGCATTGCTTGCTTATGCATACTTTTGTATTTAATATTAAATATATGCTATTAATATAAATAAATTAATATAATTTTAATACTATTTAATACTAATATTAATAACAACAAATACTATTTGTAAATACTTTAGAGAGATGCGCATCTCACTAAAGTATTTTCAAGTAGTATTTGTTATTAAATAGTAATATTTTTCAACAAAAAATTAAAAAAACAAAAGACTTAGAACTCTACACACATAAGAATCTCTAAAAAGAGTTTTATATTTTAAAAAATGTGTATACGTACTCTTAGAAACTCGATTAGCAAAATGTTTAATATAGTTTGCAGTTTAAAAAACCGTTTTGCTTTTTAAATGACTTAATATAAAATTATTACATATTTTGAATGTTTAAAGTAAGTAAACCAAATACAAAATAATATTTATTTTCACTACTTTACTTATTTTCAATATCTTTGATATATTTTTACATTTTTAACTCAATAAAATTCAATATTAATTACAATTTTACACCTCTCGGGCAGTGGTTCACATAATTGTAAAATTGTAAACAATAAATCTTTATATAGGACTGCGTAATTTTACAATGTAAACAATGCTACATTGTAAAAATTTACATTGTAAATTCGCTTAATAGGATAGGCCCTTGGTAATATAATGTAAAAATGTGGTCTTTCAAAGCATAAACAAATTTTTTATATCTAATAAAAAAAACTAATTATGTGCTCATTTTTGCGGTCGGTGTTTAATTATAAAGAATGATAATGCCTTGAGATTTGAGTTTTGCGCTGTTTTGTAAAGAGAACATTAAGATATTAGAGATTTCTGCTTTACAATTCATTTTTGGAAATGTTAGTCCTTTATAATGGCAGGAAACAACTATAATTTAGCTTTTGGAATACTTATTTTTTTAAAAAAAAGAAAGTGCTACCATGCACTCTTGTAAGTCAATTTTATTGCGAATAATCAAAGAATTTGATAAATGCATTCCTTTAGAAAAAAACATAAGGGCGGAAGACCACTAAAAAATGATGTATAACTTTATATATAAAAAATGATCTTGAAATCCCGAGATTAATCATTTAATTCGGGATATTTTAATTTAATATATAACATATAAAATACAGCTAAGTACTAATCTTTAATTTTTTTATGTTTTATTTCAGTCTGATTAGCTCAGACGTAAAATAAAATACAATAAGAATCTCACAAAAAACGTATGTAAAAAACCGTTTAGAAGACAAAACGTAAGCTTATACACACCCGGCTTGCTATTTAGTAATAGTTTGGATTTGTTATTGCATAAAATTCTTTTTAAAGTTGGCGGTGTTGTAAATATAGCTTTAGCGCCGTATCTCTTGAGCTCTTTCCTTATCTTTGATGCTGTTCTTTGAATCCATTGGAGTTTTATTGTTATGTAACCATTTTCTGTTTGATTTGCAACTACACCAACAGGATTGTTTTTGATTTTGAGATTTTTTGTTATAACCTCTAACTCTGATCTTTTATGATAATTTTCAACAAACATATTTATTATAAATTGTATTTCATCTGTTTGATTGTTGGTGATTTTAATTTCTCGAATATGAAGTCTAATAATGGTATTAAATCTTTTAATCCAAACAATTCTAACGAGAATTTTTGAAAATTTACCAAAACAGTCTCTTTACACAACACATCACGTTCCCTACTTTCTAGACATCTTATGGTTCCCCAAAAAATATGTTGGACTTATTATTTACCTACAACAAAAATTCTAATTTAAATTTGTCTCCTAATTCTATACTAGGTAATAACACTAAGGGTCACCTGTAATACTATAGGTCATATCCTTAGTAATACCTGGAGAATCTTAGTTTCAGAACCGCTACCCGAAAACGAATCTCAATTGTTTAATTACAACAAAGCTGATTATAATTCAATATCCAACTTTCTTGCATCGATCAATTGAGATATTATATTTCTACACAAAAATGCGAATCAAATGTTTAATATATTAATCTCTTATTATTGTACTGCTTGCGAATTCTTTATCCCCAAGATTAAAAAAAACAAAAAAAAAAGTATGATCCTTGGGTTGCTCTACATATTAAAAGCTTAATCCGAGCAAAAAAATCGGCTTGGCACATCAACTGCTCAACTAAATGGAAGAATAAAGATCTCAAAACAAATTACAATCGTCTTAATCGTTCCGTTAAAGCGGAAATATTTAAAGCAAAAATATTACATGAAAAAGAAATTATATACAATTTCTTTTTCATGTAATATTTTTGCTTTAAATATTTCCGCTTTAACGGATCGATTAAGACGATTGTAATTTGTTTTGAAATCTTTATTCTTCCATTTAGTTTTATTCAATTAGATCTTTATTCTTCCATTTTGTTCTGAGATTTTGATATATCAAAATCTCAGAACGACCCAAAACTCGTTTACAAATACATTAAAAACCAACTAAAAGTTAAAGATAAAATTCGTTCTCTCAAAAATACTTCAGGTGAAATTACTGAAACTCTTCCCGATATACTTGGACTTCTGAACTCTCAATTAAAATCTATGTTTACTCTTGAAAGTCACAAAAATTTTCCATTGTTAAATAAAAGTAAAGTTAAACCTAAATGCAATTATAATAACAACTTGGATTTTTCCATTGCAGATATTATTAATGAACTTACCAATCTAAACCCTTACAAATCTTTTGGACCTGAAGGGTTGCATCCTATGTGCCAAAAGCTTCGCAATTCCGCTTACAAAAATCTTTTATGAATCTTTCAATTTTGGAATAGTACCAACTCTCTGGAAATTAGCAAATATTAGTCCGATCTATAAAAAAAAGGGAGAAAACTACTTCCTGAAAACTATCGCCCTATTTCACTTACCTCTGTTGCGTGCAAAATATTTGAAAAAAATGTAAAGAATAAAATCTTGAAGCACATCAATGATAACAATCTGCTCTCTACAAATCTACATGGCTTCCTTCATCATAAGTCATGTGTAACCAATCTAATAGAGACTTTTGACATTATTTCGTCTTCCCTAGCATCGCACCAGTTTATAGATATAATCTACCTCAACTTTGCTAAAGCTTTTGACTCCGTACCTCACATCAGACTCATGTTAAAATTAATATCATTTGGAATAAACGGCAAACTACTACAATGGATTAATTCCTTCTTAGTAGGCAGAAAGCAACGCGTTACAATTAACAATACTAGCTACGACTGGGTTGATGTTCTTAGTGGTGTTTCTCAAGGTTCTGTTTTCGGCCCGCTCCTCTTTATTCTTTTTACAAATGATCTTGCCCAACTTACAGAAACTTCTGAAGTATTTGCAGACGATACTAAACTTTTTTCTAAAACTTCATCGCAGACTAATTTCGTTGATCTGCAGAACCGTCTACGCTTAGTATACGAGTGGTCAAACACTTGGTTACTTAAATTTAACATTTCAAAATGCTGTGTTATCCATTATGGTAAAACCAATCTTATGTATAGCTACTTTTTGCAAAATAACCAAGGTATAAATGAAAACCATTCCACGGAGCATGCAGTAATTGATCTTCTAACCAAATTCTAAATGGTTTTGAAAACAATAGTTACATTCTCGGAATATTTCTAGATCTATCCAAAGCCTTTGATACTGTCAACCACAAGATTCTAATCAACAAACTATGTAATTACGGAGTAGCTCACTCTAACTTAAAGTGGCTGTAATGTTATTTAGAAAATCGTAAACAAGTAGTACCATTTGGTTTGACATGCTCCCCATTTGAGTCAATAAGTTGTGGAGTTCCACAAGGATCAATACTTGGACCTTTACTGTTTTTAATTTAGATTAATGATATTTATTTGTCATCAAAAATACTTAATTATATTATTTTTACTGGTGACACTAATGTTTTCTATTCTGATTCAAATTTAAAAAATATTTTTCGTAATGTAAACACTGAACTAACATATCTCAATGAGTGGTTTATAGCAAAAAAACTTTCGTTGAATATTGAAAAAACAAAATATATTTTGTTTGCTAAACCATCTAAATCCGATAACCTTCCACTTACACTACCAGAACTAACTATTAACAATATTAAAATAAAAAGAGTGTTTTCAATGAAAATACTTGGAATAATTTTTGAGGAACATTTAAATTGGAAAAGCCAAATAAAGCTAGTCGAGAACAAAGTTTCTAAATAAGACTAAACCTCTTTTGAACAAAATTTGTTTAAAAAATTTATATTTTTCGTTTATACATAGTCATATTAACTATTGTAATACTGCCTGGGCAAACAATCACTCATCTTTCTAAAAAACTATTTACACAAAACAAAAGCAAGCAAGTCGATTAGTTTCGGGCATGGATAGATACGAAAGTGCCGATCCGTTACTCAAGGAAATAAATGCCCTAAATGTATACAAGTTAAACATCTACCATAACTTGTTATTTATATTTAAACTTCAAAACG